AATGTTTCCACAAAACTGTTAAGCAGCACAACTGTTTTCAACATTGATAATAATAAGATTTTTTTTTTTCAGCTGTAAATTAGCATATTGATTGATTTCTGAAGGATCATGTGACACTGAAGACTGGAGTCTTCAGCTTTGCCATCACAGGAATAAATTACAATTAAAAAAAATTTAAATAGAAGAAGTTATTTTAAATTGTCATAATATTTCACAATATTTCATAATATTGTATTTCTGCCACATAAATTCTTCATTCTAAAACACTTCTTTCAAAATCATTTAAAAATCATACCGAAACCAAACTTTTGAGCAATAGTGTAAGTTGCACTAATAAAATTGCATCAAGTAACAAAATGAAATTTAGAGGCATCTGCCAATGTATTTCAATATTACTGCCTTGATGTACATTTTCCTAATTTATCTGCATTATGTCTACAGATCATTTTGTCAAGTATTGGGGAGTCACTTCCTGATTTGTTAAGTCGTAATGTACTGAAGAGAAGGGAGGTCCCAGGTTTTCTTGAAGAGGAGGTAAGATACCCGAAGGAGTCATTGGCCTGCTTGTCCCACCTGCTTTTTGTGGATCATATAGCTGTGGACATCTTTCCAGCTGTTCTCAGGTGAAGAGTGAAGCTGTTCACCATGTTGATTTACATTTGTATTAAGAATGAACACAGCAAATGTTTTTGCTGACATTTTGTTTACATGTTTTTTCAGTCCGATTTTTGTTCTGCAATGCAACATGGAATATATTGAGCTGCTGTTAAGCAGGTAATTGTGGAGTTATTACAATAAATCTGATATTAAAATGAGAGTCATCTGACAAACAAATTTTATCTGCATTCATAGAACTGAAGAATCCCGTCTGCAGAAAGGACTGGTATGAGTGTTCTTTACAACAACAAACCATACCACGTCGTATTTACGTTTTATACAGAGATTGATAGCAATAATTTATGTGTGGTAGTAATATTCCTTTAATTCTGTCATCATAGGAATTGTATGAAAAAAGTCTTATCAGAGTGGAAGATAACAGTCTACCAGTAGATCTTTTGGAGCTGAAGACATTTTTCAGTGTTCCACAGGTAAAATGTTAAAACTTATGGCATTTTAACAATAGTTTTGTGCGTCTTTTAGGTGTTCTAAGATATTCTGTTTTCTCTCTAGAATTTGGTTAAAGTTATGACGCTGTGTCCAGACCAGACTTTGGTAAGCGAGACCTTTTTTGTGGAGGTAACTTGTAGTAGAATGGGGTTTGTTATCATTGTTGATTTTGATTTGTCTTTGCCCACATCACCACAGAGAACTAAAGGCCTGAAAGTGTTTCAGCTGAGCATTGACAAATTCAACACAGAGGCCAAATACAAGTTTTTCAAGTAAGCCTTTATTCTAACATTTAAACATGAACACTTCTCATTATTTGGTCCGACACAAAACATTGGTAATAAACATGGTTAATAAAAACATACACGAAAAAATTTAAATTACTGTGCTCAACTTCAGTGTTGGGTGCTTAGATCATAAAAACATACAGAGACTGCCTATGATATGTTAAAAAGCCAATTGTAACTGTATTTTTCATCATTTTGAATTTATGCTTCACAATGTGAATGTATAACTTGCAGAGTAGGACAGCTAATTAATACAATTTATAAGAATTGCTATTTAAAATAATGAACAACAAATCTGATGATTGATAACTCATGTCTGCGCTCTGTGAAGTGAAAACACGTCAGCCACTTTACAGTTGTGAATAATGCAATTTTGAAATGAAGCATATGAAATAGGACACAGATTGAGCTGTTTTGGGGAAATTGCCCAACCCAAGTTACCGTAAATATGAGAATGTTTATATTAAGTGATTCAAACAGTTGCATAAAGTTTATTGTGGCCTGCCATGTGTTTGATTTGTTTTCCTCACTCTGTAATTTTGCAGGTGTATGTTTGTCTGTAAATGTTAGAAAATCTCACTTTTATTTCCATTTTGTATAAAGGCTTATCCTGGCACATTCATTCTTGTAAATAATGGATTAAAAGGAATAATTTCTCTAAAATTTCTCATGTAGGTAGTAAATCCTAATGGTAGTTTTTAACGACAAATAAGAGTTTGCGCTGGCACAGGCTGTTAGTAAATCTGGCCATTAGTAAAAGATTCAGTAAATGATATTCTTCCATTTTCAGGGGCATGTTGAAAACAAGTCACCATGCAGGGGTGGAGGGATATATAATCAAGAACATCAAGAATCAGATTGACTTTTCACTCAAGGTAAGATAAGTCATGATATCATGTCATCAACATTACCCCCATTGATTGTTTTGATCTTGCATTTTTTTTTAGCCATGTAATGGTAATGATTGGTTCCTGGGTAAACATCTGCTGCCACTGCTGCGGCTAGTGCTGTGCCTTCCACATGGACCAGAAACAGACCTGCTGCAGAACTTAGACAGGTGAGACAAACCTTTAAACAAACCTGAGTCTTTCTGCAACTGCGGTTGGGTCAATGACAGTCCATTTGTCTTGATAAAACTGCTATCAATATCAAATAGGATCATGGAATCACTGAACCTCCTGAGATACATGCTCATCCGAGATAAAGAATGGGAGAATGAGGTAAGCTCATTCCATCCTTTAATGACTATGCAGTACATCAGTAGTTCAACCAAAGTCCTGGGAGCCACTAGGGGGCATTAGCACACTTTCAGTCTATTTTAAAATAATTTAAAATAAAACAACTACACAGATTAATATTAAGAAGAAAAGGATATGAATCCAAGATCATATTTATGGTACTATTATTGGGTAAAAATTGCTGACCAGTGTTATTTTAGTATAGTAGAGATACTGTTATAGTTTTTATTAATATTTTTAATGATTTTTTTTGCACATCATATTTTTTTTATGTTTTCCTATCTGTTTAGACCGGAATCTGGACAGAGCTTTATAAAATTGAGGACAACTATCTGAAGCCACTGAGGACCGGTCTGAACATGTCCAAAGCACATTATGAGGCGGAACTGAAGAGCGCGAAAGAAAATAAGAAGATCAGTTCAAAAGGTGCAATACACTCTCGTTCATAACATTGAGCTCTCTGAAAGTAACCAGAGAATGTATTTAACATTTATGCTGTGTGAATGTAGTCTGTCACATACATTTTCTGTAGTCAGGCTGTTGACCCTTTTTTTGTTCAACAGACTCTAAAGCATCAGTCTGCACAGTAACTGTTGACAATGAGAAGCTGCCCAACATGACACCAGAAATGCAGATTCAGGTATATTATTTTGTGTATTAATCCACGTTAGTGCTGTTATACAGTGGACACAGTTAACAATGTTTGCATGCCACTTCTGCAGGTTCTGCAGTCAGCCGTCTTCACATTTGATCTGATAGAGGGCGTCTTGGCAAGAATTGAGGAGATAATCGAGACTAAAGAAAGACCCCTGTCGTGATGTGACAGACTGTATGACCCCTTCAACATCTTTCCTTTCGGTTAACATAGTCACTCTTCTTGAAGCAGATTCTTTTAAAGTCCCTAAAACCAATCACAGGGATAGATAGCCATCGGCTCTAGGGTGGGGAACAAAGCATGGGCTTTTTATTTTTTGGTTTATTTAGCGGTATTTTCTCTCTGTCCACTCTGGCTCCAGTTGCGCATCACTATACAGTAACATATTAGTGTAGTATATAGACAGTGACAAAACACAAAAATCATATTTGTAACTTTTTTTTGGGATAGATTTTCAAGGTTTGACCACTGAACTATGATTGTGCAAATTTGTACGTCAAGATACTAATGTAGAAAAGTCATGTTAGGTCACCTAAAAATGTATATGACAGTACAATATGTTGTTGGATTATTATTATTTCCAGGCTTGAAATGTTCAGCTTTGTGTATGTCAGTCACAAAAAACAAAAACTGTGAACTATGCAAAAGTATTGCACAGGTTAAGTTTGGAGTGGGAAATTACCTAGAGCTTTAAGATGCTGTTTGTATCTGCATTTTTGCATCTTTCTTGTCTGTGAAATCACTGCTCTTTTGTGAGGGAAATATTTAGCAATGTTGTTCTCTTCTGATTTTGCTTTGAGTAAATACCATTGTTTCCAGATGCAGTTTTTCTTTTCTCATACAGGGTCTCAGTCACTAACCATGTGTAATGCACATATATTTAAAGTGAAATCAGACTGTGTGAGAGTGATAATGATTCATCAAAAGCTTGAATTTATTCTGAATTGTAATGATTTTTTAAATGCAAAATGTATTCTATATATACTAAATAATTAGTAACAATCAAAACCATGTGTGTCACAATATCACATTTGGTTGGCCTTATAAACATAAAATATTGACTTATTGCTCCTCAGGCACACATTCAGTAATCAAAATAATGTGAAAACCTGGGAAATAGGCAATAGTTTTTGTTAAGGTGTTTTACCACCATTTGCCTTCAATACGGCTCCCAAGCTTCTTAGAACAGATTCATGCAACTTTGGAATAGTCAGACCATCTGCCAATAGCTCCAAAGATGTAGGAGCAAATCGCCTTCTCATTTTCTCCAAAACTGTCCACAGTGGTTTGATAACATTTAAGTCATATTTTCTGGCCACAGCAGATGTGGAAGTTCATCTTTGTAATCCTAATGTCTAGTTTTTATGATTGCCCTTTTCTTTTAGTTAAGAGAAGTTGCAGCTCTTTCATGGATGTTGGTTTTGTGAAGTTCTCTGCCACAGCTGGTACTATAGTACCACTGCTGAACAACTTATACTACATTGATTTACAAACTAGTAAGTACAGACAACATAAAAGAAGATAATTGCAATACTGCAGCTGTCACAAATTATATTAACTCCTATAATATATAAACAAAACAGTCTGGTGGTTTTCAACAGGGTTCATAAATTTAATTTCATCCAAATATGTGTCAGAACCTTACATTCAAGAAATACTCTAATATGAACTTTAAACAATAAGTTTGAACTTTTTATTCTCAAAAGTGAATCTTAAGAAACCCAAAAAATAAGATTAATAAATAAAACATCGCTGTACAGCATGTAGTTAGAAAACAGATGCATAAATGTAACTTTATAGAACAATACAAAATTAGAAGATGGCGCAAAAACTAATTAGTCATATCTTTGAAAAGTGGATGCTGCAGTGCCACAGAAGCAGTTATCCTCGATGCTGGGTTTAAATCTAAGAGTTTATCCAGGAGATCATACACATCATCAGGCACTTTATCCCAGCCCATCTCCTGCAGCTCTGCACTGCTTTTGAGAGAGCTCTTATGCTTCTTAACAGGACTCCCTGCATCCTGTTTTCCTTCTGCTGGGTTATGTGAGGCTTGAAACTCAGCAGGAAGTAAGCCATCATCCCATGATCGCAAACCTCTTAGAGTCTCACAGAGGATCTTCAGGTCCAATCGAGGAAGCTCACGACTGCACACTATAGATTTACCTGCAATCAGACATACAAAATAATATTCAATCAACTGAGGTACAAGAAATAAGATGAGAATCGATGTACAACATGATCCAGAGACATCTGTACTCTTGAGCCTGTAGACAATGACTTACCGAACGTCTTAGCAGCCTCAATCGTCTCTCTAGATCCTCGGATGGTCATGATCTGAGTAAGAGCGATCAGATCATCACTGGCTTTGAAGAATGGATACCTCCCACTCAGCAGTGACAGCAAAATGACACCTGCTGACCACATGTCAATAGCTGCAGAGAGATGTTGCTTCATTAGTCAGAATTTATTATTGTTATCTGTGAAAAGAATATATATGCTTTGAAACATAAGCTAGACAGAATTGAACTGATTATGAAATGTACATCACACTGAAAGTGCAGCCACAGTTACTGTTGCTTGGTGACATTTTAGGTGAAATCTAGTCATTTCAAAAGTAAACCACACAAGTGAAAATGTTGTGTTCTCCATGCAGATTTGACTTTTGTTCAAGTTGGTCATGTGAATTTGCTGTTTTTGACCAACCATTCAATGATCTGAGTAAGAGCGATCAGATCATCACTGGCTTTGAAGAATGGATACCTCCCACTCAGCAGTGACAGCAAAATGACACCTGCTGACCACATGTCAATAGCTGCAGAGAGATGTTGCTTCATTAGTCAGAATTTATTATTGTTATCTGTGAAAAGAATATATATGCTTTGAAACATAAGCTAGACAGAATTGACCTGAATATGAAATGGACATCACACTGAAAGTGCAGCCACAGTTACTGTTGCTTGGTGACATTTTAGGTGAAATCTAGTCATTTCAAAAGTAAACCACACAAGTGAAAATGTTGTGTTCTCCATGCAGATTTGACTTTTGTTCAAGTTGGTCATGTGAATTTGCTGCTTTGACCAACCATTCTGTTACTTGGTTTGAAACGTTACTTCTGCAAGAACGATGCTTAATGCATCACTACACTATTTATACTGAACAATGCCCATGAAATCAAAGTTGATATCTACTTAATATCTCTGTATTACAACCATGAAATATGTTGTCCAATCCTCAAATGATGACGTGCACAGAATATCAAACAGAGATTTCTTGATTTGTGTCCAATTTTGACTTGTGTTTGAGTTGAGTTTGACTTGATTCAGTTCTGATTCACTTGGGTATAGTGATGTTGACTCAGTAATCACTCTGACAGATTCAGTATGTGATTTTTTAAAAGATTCGTTCAAAGAAATTGACTCATAAAACTCATTTGGTTGTCAATCAGACTACACTAGCCATGAAGATAGCGTTTGCTTTCTTGTACATTTATGTTGGAAGTCTACGTCAAGTGGCATTGTACTTTTCCAAGTAGAAAGTTGGAAAATATACAAGTTGAATGGAACACACCATTGGGGATAAATCACAACCCAAATAACAATATGAAACAAATAAAAATGTCTTTTGGTAGTTTTACCTGTTCCCTGGTTAGGGCACTTAGTCAGGACCTCAGGAGCCCTAAAGCCTGGGGTACCAGCCCTCGGAGCCACCTGCTGTTTCCTAGGAAAAGCAAAGCTTTCTTCACTCATTATTAAATTAATGCTGTAAAGCCTGACATATGAAAGAATATTCAGAATTTTTTTTAAAAATGGCAGTTTATTGAATTACTAGACAAAATCTAAAAAAATAATGTTCGCATTTTTTATTGTGGGGGGCAAAACATAATGCAATGCAAGACAATGATGAATGAGAGATGTACAAATAAGTGTACCTAAAAAATGTTGCCATGATTTTTCTAAAAAATGAGGATAATCCACAATGTTTAGATAATCAAGTAAACTTAAATTACTTCAGTCCAATAAGTGTGGATCTTGAAATACTACTATAAAATACAATATAACTACTATATATACACAATATAAAAGTTATGCCTACATTTACTTAAAAAACAAAAATCAGTAAAGATCGCACAGCTAAAAGACCTAAAAGTGTACCCAGCTAAAAGGGTACCACATCCTGAAGGTTTTTACAATTATACTAAAATAACTTTTACTTGCTAAAAATGTATAAAATATTATGTAGTAGATTGTGTAGAACAGCAAATATTCCTGCATAGTTTTGATCATTTCTAGGCCTTAGAAATTTGCATATTAATTAAGATTAAAAATAGGCTTTATAAAAATAAAAATCTTTAACTTGATTAAGAGCATGTACCTGGACAAGCAGATGTTGCAGATGCGGTCAGTCATGTAGCAGTTGCAGGTGAGACTCGGGCTGACGGCAGGGGGTTTGGGTTTTTGACTCTCAATGGGGGATTTTTGTCTCTGATTCAGTGTTGTTCTCACTGGTACTGAACGGTGTTTTGAAGAAACAATCTTGCGTGGAATTTGGGTAAAAGCACATACTGTGGACACTTACCACAAAGGTTTGATGCTCCATGTATGGCATGACAATGACCACGTAATGCTCTTTCCTGAAGCAGTATGTGACTCCCATCACATTTTCTTTCCCTCTGTGGAGGGAAATATAATTGACAAATCCTCTACTGTAACTCTGAAACCCAAGACTGTTCCTCACAAGGTATCTATGCCAGAATACATGAAAATAAATGGTAATAGGTCAAAATATTTTCACCACTCACCCAGCAACAGTCAGGCACTGGAGTTCAGCGGCTATACGCACAGGGTGACTGGTAGGGATCAGGTGTTTCAATGCAAACATCCTTCTCGACCCATCTGTCATCTGTGCCTCTGCCAAATACACTGAGCTGAAAGTACCTGTAAATGACAATAAAGGATCTTAAAGGTTTGTCAATCAGCAGAAGGAAAACAAAAAACGTGATTTCAGTGGATTCAAAGATATCCCATTATACAGTATTTAAGCAGCAAGAAATATAATGGCAAACCTTCTCCAATTTTATCTATTATACGAAAAATTTGAGACAGCTGCGGCAGAACTTCATACAGGTATGCAATGTCTGTCTCAACATCCCCTAAACAAAAGAGAATCAGGTAGGTTTAATTATTTTTATAAACAGTTATAAAGTTATCTACAAATGTCACAAAACAAGCATTCATTCCCTTGAGAAAAGGAAGTACCCTTCAGCATACCTAAAAGAAAGTACTCAGTGAAATAACACACTGTAAAAGAATATACTTAAATGCAAACTGAATGTAATTTTTTCAGACAACTAACTGCATGTTATTCAATTGCTATTGTTTTTTTTGTTTTTTTTATTGCTGCCGTACAGTTCCATTCACAGATGTACAATGCAGTAAGTGAAAAAATGTACTGTAGCTGGAGCTGGTGTAAGTAAACTATCGTTCATATCAGGTTTTTAATCATGGATAAATTTGTAGTTCGGTTACCAAAGGCAGATAGGGAGAAACAGGAACCAAAACAAGAGAGGAATTACAAGCAAGCAACCTTAGAGTCTCTGCGGGTAAGTCATTGGTTGTTTTACCCTGGCCATCATTTTTTTTTTACCAGGTGTGGTTTTATTTATGTAGTCATCTGTATTTGTTCCAGAGAGTGGTTGTGATTGAAGACATTGAAAGGTACAGGTCTATCCTTGAACTGCCTGGCCAGCCTAAAGAAAATATGATAGAAGCCTTGAAGGAGCTGGATAAGAAAATGCCTTCCAGAGAAGTGCTGAAGACTACCAGAATCGGTAAGAGTTTATTGTTCTTTTTTTCTTGATGTTCTTGTTATATCCCTCTTTTTATTTCTTAGTCTCATAGATATTGAGACATTTGAAACATAGATATTAGTCAATTGCTAACATCTGCCACTGAATTATAGACCTAAGGTGTGGTATCCCCAAAAATCATTCCCCTATCAAAATTAAAATGAAGAAAAAAAGTCACATTCTAACAAATACTATTTACAATTCATCCCACTTTGTCATTGTTTTTAATACAGGACACACAGTTAACAACCTACGCAAACACTCAGAAGATCCTGAAATCAAGTCACTAGCGGGGGAGGTGTATAAACACTGGAGGACCTTCATTGAGGAACATGCAAATAAACCTACTATAGAAGTTCGCTGTGACAAACAGACAGAAAGTTTGAGGAGCAATGCAAAGAAACTGCTATCTGAAGCCACAGGGCTGAAGGTACTGATCCTAACTGGTCATTACAATTTCTTAACGACCTATGCTTTCAATAGTTTATTGCTATATAAAGAATGAGTTGAATACCTCTGCTCCCAACCACTAAAATTTAATAACTGTGATGTACCTTCTAATTGCAATCCAAAAAAGTGATGTTCTTCTGCAGTATTTTTGTATTGTTTTCCAGTTCATTTACTAGAAACGGAAAATGACATGCAATGCAAAATCTTTTTTCTGAGTAATTGATAAAAATGAAGTGAGTTTATAATGAAAACAAGAACAAATATGTCAACTGCCAACTATTGCTTAATTGAAAATCTGAAATTGTATTACCTCAAATTAAGGCCTTTCAAACATTTTAAGTTGATTTTTCTGAGCCAATTGGCAGATATTTGTTTTTATATCAAGATAGTTTTAATCATAAATTTACTTCATTTTGATAAAATTCTCATAAAACTTACTGTTCTATGTGATTTAGCTTATCATGCAAATGAATCTTGATTTTAGAGTTTTAGACATTTGCACTTCAAAACAAGACAAAAATACTAAGGAGGAACATCACATTTGAGCAGTGTGATCAGTAGCTGTTATTTCTATATTCTAGTGGTTGGGAGCAGAGCTTTTCAAACCTTAAAGGGTTAGTTCACCCGAATATGAAAATTAGCCCATAAATTACTCGCCCTCAAGTCATCCTAGGTGTATATGACTTTCTTCTTTCAGATGAATCCAGTCAGAGTTAAATTATTATATCTTTGATATTTCAAGCTGTTTAATGCCACTCAGCGGGTGTTGCATGCATCACTCCAAAAGAAGTTAAATAAAAAGCGCCCATCCATAAAAAGTGTCTCACACGGCTCCGGGGGGTGAACAAAGGCCTCCTGTAGCGAATCAATGCGTTTTTGTAAGAAAAATATCCATATTCAAAACGTAATAATCACTTTAATGTAGCTTGCACCAACAGTTGTACACGGAAGCAGCTCCGGGTGGATGACGTATGAGGTCAGCTTTGCACATGCACCGCTCAGAAGTGGAAGCGCAGTGAAGAGATCAAAACAAAACAACGGTCACTTATTAGAAGTACAAAACAAGGATTTGTAAAGAAGAATGTTGGAGGATTTCGATATAAGCCAAGAGGAGACTGGTTTTCCTTTGCTAAAGTAAGGAAACTTTGCTTCTTTGCTCCTGTTAACAAACGTTGGTTTTCACGAGACTCACCGGCGCATGCGCAATGCCGACCTCATACGTCATCAGCCTGGAGCTGCTTCCGTGTACAACTGTTGGTGCAAGCTACATTAAAGTGATTATTACGTTTTGAATATGGATATTTTTCTTACAAAACCACATCGATTCGCTACAGGAGGCCTTTGTTCACCCCCCGTAGCCGTGTGAGACACTTTTTTTTTTAATGGATGGGTGCTTTTTATTAAACTTCTTTTGGACTGATGCATGCATCACCTGCTGAGTGGCATTAAACAGCTTTAAAGATCAAAGACAATTTTTTATATAAATCCGACTGGATTTGTCTGAAAGAAGAAAGTCATATACACCTAGAATGACTTGAGGGTGAGTAATTAGTGGGCTAATTTTCATTTTTGGGTGAACTAACCCTTTTTAGCTATTTCTTTTTGTAAAATTAATTAAAAAGTCATTGAGATCTGAAGCGAGTTTTATTTTTATACTTCAGAGTTTTGCTTATACAAATCATTGTGCACTTCCTAGACAAATACATTTAGAGAACATATTGACCTATTGTGTTCGCTTTAAATTATTCCCTTAGAAAGTCTTAAATGCACCTTTAGAAATGCTTCAGGAACCCCATATTAAATATTATCATGACACAGTTGTACTTTAAATTCTTATTGTACATAGATAATAAATATTTTCCTGATGTTCCAGGTGGAGCATGGACTGGTGGAGAACATAGAGAGAGAAGTGTTTCACCAAAGCTCTCGACTTATTAGTGGAGCATACAGAAGGACTGTGAGGGCTCTTGTCTTTGCACTGAAAAATAGGCCTGACTTGAGAGCGCAGGTCAAGGATGGCAAACTACCAGTTAATAAATTTGTAAGCAGTCACAAAAAGAAACTGTGAAGAATTGAAAAATTCAAATATGGGACCTCAAGAAAACTTTTTTAAATTTTTTTTTACTATTTTTAACTTTCAGTTTTGTTCTTAAATACAACATTTGACTTTTATTTACATTGCATTTGTCAGAATGTTCTTTCCAAAACAGTACAAAAACAGAGATGTATCAAGTCCTTATACAGTATATGCATTGTGTGGCACACCTATAGAAGCACCAACCACACAATAGCAATTAACATGAGGATCACAGCGAGAACACAGATGCTGATGAAGATGATGTCACTGGTCTCATGAGGTTCACTTTCTTCATCAACATTCTTGTTGTTTGATTCCTTGGCCAGACGGGCCAGTTCATTGAGACGGTTACGCTCCTCAACTGAGATGATGTTGACCATGGCCATCTTCCTCTGGGCGTCACATTGCACCTCATACTCCTGAATATTCTGCTGCGGTCCATCAGAGTAGTCGATATAAAGCGAGTTCACCAGCATGGTGATGTTTTGACGTTTCTACAGAAGATCACAGGATATGGGGCAACATCAATTTTAATTTGAACAAAACCATATAAAATCTAGTCTTTAAGCTGATGTAAGATATATCAGAAATTTGCTAAAATCAGCCAATGAACTAGACCTAAATCTAAGACTGTCTCTGAAAAAAGGTGTAGGGTAAGTAGAGGTGTTTTAAATGTGGTATCCCAAGAAATCACTGCATGAGTGTCTCTTTGTCTTATATACCTGTCCAGCAGTTCCACAGTTGACAAAACGGGCTAGAATTTTGTAGGATGTTTCTGTCAGCTGGGCCGAACAGGATGGATTCCCAAGATAAATATTCTCACGGTCCAGCTGGGGCAAAGCCTCTCTGGAGATCTGAATCTGAAACTCAGTTCGGGTGCAGCTTACATTGACTGGCACCACTGCGAGACACAAAGACAACAAAATAACATTCAGGTTGAGTTCAATGTGGTGTTTACAATAATTATGTGAAGAACATAATTTAATTTAGTATACTTTTGAGGAATATTTTGAGGAATAAATGCAATTCTCTTTTGCTAAACAATGTGATTGTTTTAAATAATAAATACTTTTGAAATGGAGTCTTATGAAAGGTGTTCACACAGACTATTGATTACTTTTCACTGGTGTTTAGTAATTTACTTTAAATGCTTTTTTATAAGAGTCCTTAATGTAATGCCATTATTGGCCTTAAAGCTACACTGTACATTTTATTTTTGCTAAATACTCTTAAATAAATACTCATATTTCAGAGCTGTCACAACATTTTTGTGGGAAATGGCATACATACATAATTCGCCCATGTGCCTACTCATAGTGCCTAATGGTCTAATGTCATTTACGTTAGAAGAGTGAATTCAAACTATGATAAGTGAGCACTCACCTCCTATATAGGAGGCCGTGAATCCCTTAAAGGCATAGTTCCGGTCAGTGCTGAGAACAACCAGTAGTTTATTTCCCTTAGAGGTCAAAGATGGAGGCTGTTCACTGCCACACCACTGACCCAACAGCGTGTCTGTCTCGCTGTCCCCATCGTACACATACACAGAGTCATAGTCGCACATGTCAGTCAGGCTGTTTCGATCCTCAAGCTCCAGAAAGGGGAAAAATAGCTTAATCCTGTAGCCAGCTGCTAAAGTGATTGTCCAGTGACAGTTGATGTTGTTGGGGTAGATGTTTGGGTAGTGAGGGCTAGTAAAGTTCCCACTGATATTTTTGAGAATTTGCTGGCACTCTCCTTTAAAAACAGGAATATCAGGAATAACTATTTTAAATTTTATTTTATTGTGATAATATCTGGTTTGAAAACGTGTCTCACCTGAGAAGTAGTAGGCTTTAAAACCTCTCCCACCAATATTAAAGTCAGACTTGAAGACCACAAGCAGATGGTTTG